CAAACTTACATAATCCGAAATGATCTTGTGTCAGTCTGTCTCAAATTTAGACGAGAAGTTATGTCTTACTGTTTATTCCTATTTTGAGTGTGATAGATATAAGGAACATTCTTATTTATGTAGTACTGCAATTTCGCAAAGGAAATGATCAAAATGATTGTAATCAGTAGTAACGGTGGTCCGCTGCAGACCGGAAGGGCGCGGGTTTGCTTCCGGTCATGGCGGTGGCATTGTGGTGGAGGTGAAATGGTAGAGGCCCGTATACTGAGCGATGTCAGAAGATCAAAACTTCTGCAGCCCTCCGCTATGGTGTCTCTCATAATCATATCGTGAGTTTGGGACGTAAAACACCAGATATGGTCATTGATAGTAGTGTAGTCCATTTGGTAGGCTACAATAGTTCGGAAAACTGGCTGCTTCGCCAAGCGAACCGTGATAAGTTGCTAAGCGTAATTAACGCAGGTTTGGCTTTCCATCCCAACAGTAGCATATTGGTGAAAAAAAAAAAAACAACTAAACTCGCCAAACAAACCAACTAACTTCTCGGGCTTTGCTTTGTTGTTCCCGGTATTACCACCGGAAGTAAAAAAAAATCCGTGGTCCCCCGCAACGGCTGGCCTAAAATGTTCATGCTTTGCGCGCGTAACACCCGAGACGTAGTAAGCTTTTTTAAGGAAGTCTGTTTCAAAAACACGCGCCAGCGCACTTCAGTTTTGTGACGCCAGGGCGCGACACCAATCACTGCTGCGGGCGTCTTCCGCGGCAGCTTACTAGCGCTCCCTGGTGAAGAATCGGGAAACCGAAAAGAGGATCTCGTTCTTCTTTCTTATTTATTTTTCATAGCAATTCTTGGGCTTGCAAGGTCATCCCTGCGCCCCTAGGCTTCGCTTGTTTTGTTTTTTTTTTTCTCCTGCGACTGCCTGCGCTGCGGCCACTACATGTTGGTTTCTCGAGTTCGTGCAGCTCATTAGAATGTAATTCTAATATTAATTGGGCATCGCAGGCGTTTACATATCCGGCAATATCGTTAGTTTAAAATTTATAAATAATATTGATTGCAGACGTCGATTTCGTCCGTTTTATGTAAACTGCGGTATGTTCTGTCTATTAAATTTACTTGTACAAATGCAATTTCTTTAAGAGATTAGGCAGTTATTATAAGAGCAGAGATAAAGTTCAAACGCTACTCTGCGCATCTCCACACGTCATCCTAATGCTGAGAGTTTTATTACTTCAGATTACTAATACTACTACATATAAGCAATGAATAATTACCACAACGCACTTTATAAGTGGCTTCGTATATATAGCTTCTTTCATACGTTTATTGTATTTATTCTTCATCTATTATTCACAATGCTTATTCAGCTATGACCCAAGACTTGTGTCTTATTCTTCCATTAGTGGGTGCGCAACAACTGCAGAGATAAATCAACGTCAAATTCAGTGCCCGCTGCTTTGCCATCATAATCAGGCTGCACCGAGTAGCGTGAGTAACATTCCAGAAAACCTCGCAAATAAAGCGATGCTGTAGCAAGAGACATTACTAGAGAGAACGAAACGAGACTGACAAGGACGCTGAGTAGTGACCGACATAAACCACGTGTGCGTCTTCCCTAGTTCTCTTTTTACCAGACAAGTTGTTTACGAAATTGTGCCGTGCTCACCCCGTTCAAAAAAAAAAAAGTCATCATCATTAATGAGTATGACGCAGAAAAATCGGGTGAATGCCACTACACGCATGTTACACTATAAAAAAAAAGCAAGCATGAGCCCTAAAAATGATTGCAAAGGGACTGCAATGAGTTGAAAACACCAAGCACGGACTACGAGAGAATACCAGGCAACCGTGGTTGCAAGGAAATCCCGAGGTGATTGTAAGCCTTAGCCAACGATGACGGGCCTGCGTCGTGCCTTTGACTCTCTGTGGTTTATTTCAAAACTCTCAGTCCCGAGAAACAAGGCAGATACAACCTATCATCACCTACAGCTAAAGGCTAGCAACGACCTAGAAGAAACCTAGAACCGACCCTCAACACCAAGCTGAGGCCTAGAAGAAATCTAGAAGCAACCATATTAGCCTTCACAATCGTCCAGTTTCGCTGTTTCAAGGCTTGGGCGGTTCAATACAAGCTTGTAAACTGCTTTACGAGCAGTGCAACAGATACAAGAAATTTCTTAATGAAGCTTTGTTTATTCAGAATTGAAGGCAGGATCATAACTCAAGAAGTCACATGGTTTCACATCATGGAGTGGTAACACGGACTGGCAACAAATTATTGAAAATTCGGAAATGAAACTAGTAGCGTTTTAGTGATAGTGGAATAACGGAGGACAATGCGGCCCTGACGATGTGCTCACAGACAATAACCGCGACAACAAAGTTCACTCAGGAACACATTCGAAGTAGTGGTCATGAAGTAGCGCTACCTTGAATCTATACAAAGGCACTCGGCCAATGAAACCAGAGAATAAATTCAATGGAAGATAGGAGCTTGAAGTAGGCGTATGCAATTAGTTAAATATAGGCCCGAATTGAGTGTTTTAGAATAGTAGGGCAACCACTGTCAAATCTTCCCTTGAATGATAAAATCACCATTTTCGAAACAGTCCAAGAATTCTAGATTTCAACAGAAACAAACATTTACCATTTTTAATAAAGAAACATTAGGACTACTACTAACCGACAAAAAACTCCCAGTTTTGCCACCAGAGTGAAGTAATGACTGTTGTAGCAAGAAATTAGAATATTACTTCAAGATTGACAAGCAGCTCAATACTTTCAGCATGCCGCAGCAGCAGAAAAAAGACGCTCGAAAAGAACGCATAGATATACACTGCTCAAGTGAGAACTAACAACCGTCATGATTGTTACATGTTTGTATTGGACGAACGCGCTAAAAATATCCTCAATGCAGAAGCCAATGCTCTTTGATATTTAGCTTTTTTAATTAAACTGCGGCGTGTGAAATTACCCCTCTGCGTTTTCTGCTACTTGGTGGCGCCTTGCCCCTAGAGTGCCCCTTGTTTTTTTGAGAAGAGAAGCATCTCTTTGACTAGCCTGTGTAACGCTGTCCCTCCGTACGAACACCCCTCGTGCCGCAGTTGTTGACGCGGTGCCAAGTAGATCACGCCGCTGCTGCGCGTTGTCATAACGCTCTCCTCGCAGTGCTTCCTGACGTCACATTCTTCCTCGCCTTCCGTGCGATTGCCGTGGCGCCCGCAACACCTGCCGCAACCACCCCTTGCTACACCACCGCCGGTTCACGCGCAATTAAACCTGACGCGTGCCTCACGTACGCGTTGAGACATGTCGGTACGTGTTACCTTCAAGAGCTACGCCAGCCACCGCTTCAAACGAATCTTCCAGCGCTCACCGCAGCACTAGCGTTAGCACCGTTCAACTCGTGACGTCACCCATGCGCGACGCTGCTGTTTCACATCCAATCAAGGCTCCCTTCGGGGACACTATCTTCTACATCATGAAGAGTGTAGAAGGAGGACACTTTTTTGCGCGTCTCAAGGACAGTTTTCAAAATGAAATAATGTGTAAAAGCGTTGGTGCTAGACCCAAGTTGTTCCGAGATCTGCGCACCATGAGCAGTAAATGGTACTATGAATAGCTCGTCTTTATACCACCCGCACAAGCATAGTGAGTGGCTGTGTTCGCTAGCACATCAAGCTGTGTAGTGAGAGGTTGCTGGATGAAATCCCCGGTATGTTGTTTTGGAATTTTTTATACGTATTTATTTTACTCTAATATATATATATATATATATATATATATATATATATATATATATATATATATATATATATATATATATATATATATATATACGTATCAGGGACAGGACGGCAATCGTGACGGCGACAGCAAAACTCAGCTGAGAGTGTCTATGTAATTGCTCTCGCAATAAAAGCTACCACAATTACAAAACACTTAGGCAAGCTCATGTGCAGCAGCAACTAAAGCCTCGCTTTGTAGCCGCAGGTTTTAAATACAGCTCTGACAATACAATAGAGTATTCAAAGGGCTACTATGTCACATACTTTAAGTAAAGCTTATTCGAAAAAATGAACGATAAATAATGAGCCACATCATCATGAATGATAACGACTAGTTATTATTGACCCTGTTTGTTTGGCGACTGACTCTTTTTTAAATCAAAGTGCATTAACTTGTTGTCAAATATTGGCAAATATAGTTAGATAGCCCTATAAAACAAGCTTGAGCGGTGCGCGTAATGATAATTCGACAATAAAAACAAGAAATGTGTTTCCGCTTCATTCTCGTCTTGTTATTTCTTCATTTTAGAGGTGAATCTCCTCTTAGTTTAACCTTCTCATGCGTCACGCGTAACCGAGAGAAGAAGAGATGAGACAGAAAAGAAAACAGTATCTCCCGAACTGAACAGTATAATAGACGGCGCTGTCTCAAAGAAGTACATGCGAATTTCAGTTGAGTGAGGATATTCTAGATGGTGCTATACCGTCACTCTCCAATTGGCTGCTGCGCGGGCTGTGCCTGAGTACGCGGAGAATTATTGCCTCTCTCAGTCTCCTGGATAGTCACCGTAAGCGGAGGATCATCAGTGGGGCATGAACAAAGCAGAGCGGTGGGTGCGTTGAAGACGCTTGTGCTCGGCCTCCTTGGCTCGAGTCTCGTTGTGTTACCCACGCGCCGTCGGCATTCTCGAACGCGATCGGATGCATGGACCCATGCACAGACGAATGGACACATGGACGGGTATACGGACGCTCCGCCCCCCTCAACATCATGAACTCCATGTATATGCTGTGATTTTTTATCCGCGCATTTTATTCCACAAAAAAATTCCGCTTCATTACGACGTCTTCTTTCTTGGAGAATTTTTCATCCGTGCCTAATTCTTCATGAATTTTTCAAAAAGTACTTGATACTTAGGAGTGCTTTCACTGTACTCTTTTTTTTTTGCTATGAATAGTAAAGTGGCCAATCAATCAATCAATTCCTGCAGGAGTGCCACAAGTGCGGCGGCGTGCTGCCCGGCGGCGAGCTGGCGGTGATCGCGCCCAAGTACGGCGAGATGGTCGCCTGGCACCCGGCCTGCTTCGTGTGCGGCACCTGCAACGAGCTGCTCGTCGACCTGACCTACTGCGCCAAGGACGGACAGCTCTATTGCGAGCGACACTACGCCGAGACGCTCAAGCCCCGGTGCGCCGCTTGCGACGAGGTGAGTTTGTTACTGTGAAACGGCGAAGAAATTATATCAAAGGCATCCAGCGTGTGATCAAAGTGCATCGTCTCTGAAACCTGGCTTTGACGTAGCATACTTTCCTTATTTTTCTATAAATAAGTTAATAAACAATTATGTGTTTGTTTCTAAACCTGGCTATATCCACCTCGCGTCTTAGCCATTTTTCATCGTGGGAATGAACAACTTATGCAAAGGAAAAGAAACAAACACGCAAACAGATAACGGTGACGAGGGAGAACAACACAAACAAAGAAACCTCTGTACGCCAGACTTCGTATATGCAGGCAGAGTACTTACTTTTATTCTTTCCCCACCCTTTTGTTGTATATCATTCTTTCTTGATTTTGTTTGTTTTTTCCTTATCAATACCCTCACGATGCGACAGCCAGTTCTAACGTAGTCTACCTTCCCATGTTATGCATATATAAATAAAAAAATGTTGTAGAAAAAGCTAGCAAACCTTACAGTGAAAGAACAAAGCTGTACACAGCAAAAGAAAGACAAAAACGCTGCAAAAAGCTGGCAGTACTCATTTGTCATCGGCGATAATTTAATAAGCGATATAAAGCGATCCTCAAATGCGCAATGTTCGCAGTTTCGTTGTATTGTGTAGTTTCGTGACTATGTGAGAAAACGGGCCAATTTTGGGCCAGCCGCCGTATTGAGTATCCCATAATACACAGACTCCATTGAATATACCGGTGTTCTTTCGGCACCATCATTCGGTAATGAGCCAGAAAACAACGACAACAACGACGATGATGACGACGACGCAACAACAACAACCACAACGACAACCATCTCCCGGCATGGGTTGCACCAAGATGCCGAGGAATAAAGCAACAAACCAATAACAATTTGTGTGGCTGCAAGCGAGGTGTGCCATTGCATGAGCCGCGGAAAAGAACTATCACTACTGTCACCCAGTTCCAAACAAGAAGAGTTTGATCATTAGGATAAAAAAAGCAAAGGTATCAAAATGCACATACGCCGAAGGGCAGTGTGTTCACTGACAGATACGTTTCTTTAGAAGTGTGCCGACACGACACAAACAAACAAACAAACAGGCAAGCAGGACATAGGCGTCAGTCAAGGAAGGCACTCGCTGATTCAGCTCCCCACTTTCGGAGTCGTCCAGGATATAGATAGGTGAGAGGCCGCTCTGCTTGAACGAGCGCCAGGTTGAGTGCTGTGTGCATCCGCGGGTGAGGTTCTGAGTGGAGCCCGTGAATAAGCTGTGCAATACGAAGCACGGCCAACATATTGGATGAGAAGAAATGGCTGATAAGTGTAATTATAACGAAAAAAGACAAGTAATCAACTAAGTGTGGTGTGGGAGACCTTAATACTGCTGTCCCCATTCACACACACACAAAAGTCACAGTTTTGCGGCAAAGACGAAGCAATCAACGTGATAGCAACATATCGGAAAGTAACGCGCAGAATGGCAAGCAGATCGAAACGTGCCCCGCGTTTCTCACGCACAAATGGCGCCCGAAGCGTGCTCACAGGTACAGATGCACGTGAATAAGTGTCTGAGTTGTTACTTTGCTGTGTCTGAAAATCGCAAGCTTTTCGCTAACGGACAATGTGCGCCCGGTAACTACAACAGAATCGTTCCAAGTAAACCCAGGGGCCAGCCAAGACGTACGATCCTCCCTCCTCTCCACCGCAAGGTAAGCGCGCGCGAGGAAGCTACTCTCCCCTCCTCTAAGCGGCGCAAAGTGCGCGTGGAAGATTAAAGCGTGCGTCGCCGCGCGATGTGGGGACGCGCGCCACTTTGCCATCATGCTGGTAATGCTGCAAATGCGATATTTCCCCTTGAGATGCTCACCAGCAGCAGTAAGGGGTAGATATAAATAGGTTGCTGTTTGAACGGTGAAGGACGCGCTCCTGGGTGGCTTAGTGGTTAACGCCACTTGGGTCCTTGCAATCACGATAGCGAGGACCCAAGTTCGGTGCCGCGCGCCGTAGTATTTTTCAGTTTTTTCTTGCATTTTCATATATATATATATATATATATATATATATATATATATATATATATATATATATATATATATATATACATATATATATATATTAAGGCAGTCCTACACTTTCGTGTAGGACTGCCTTAATGAATGGCATTTTTGAAGGCATCGCGACACGTGAGGTGATTGCGGAACAGGCCTGCAGAATTTACAAGAAGTAGGAGTGGGCGAGAAGTAAATTCAAAGTTCGAAGCGAATTCAAAGCGAATAGTGGGTTTGTCGAATAATTATGAATGAAATGGTTTCATTAGTGTGAACGGCATATTTTAATCTAAAATGGTCATTTTAGCTATTACCGACTAACTTGTACAATACATTTATAAAGTGAACTACATATATGCGAATGCCATTTTTTTTTCTTAAAGTGGAAGAAAACTTGAATAGGGGCAAGATTTTATTGGTAATATGGCGAAAGTTACTTCTAACTTTCAGAATATTTTACACTTGCTATACTTAGCGCATATAAGTCGGGCTAAGGTGCGTATATTTATCCTTCAAATGTAACCTCAAGTCAGTGTGGTTTCTTTTGGTTTTGTTTTAATATATGGTTTTAGGGGATATCTGTCCCACATTGAAGTGAAACCATCATTTCAGGCGGGTCACATGCAATCAAGCATGGTTGTATTTGTTCATCTAGAATATTTTGAAATTTCGAATACATCGAATTCACGTGGAAGTGAATTAGAGTACACACATAACGAAAAGCATTCGGCAAGCTTCTGTCATCCTGAGGCGTAACCAAAGTTGCTGGCGCGCGAAAACGTGGGTATCGCACTATTCTGAGACACTAGACAGTCCATCAAGGTGCGAACTGGTGTCAGCGTTTTCGCTGGTGTCAGCGTTTTTGATATCCCCCAGCTAGCATCGGTTGCACAGAATAAGACAAAACTGGTTCACAAATGGCTAGGCTTTCAATTTTGTTGCTGTCAGACTTGAATGAAAGAGGGCACATGGGTTGTCGTCGTGATCGTCACGCCAACTGAACAGGGAGCCTAGGGAGTTCCCATGTTTAATGACTATTCACATCAGCTTCCCCACAAAACTCTGCTGTCCATATCAAGCTAAACACTAGTCTACAGCATTTTCACGTGCATCGAAAATGCAACCGTTGCAGCCGGGATTCAATCTAGTGACCTGCGGGACAGCAGCCGAGTATCTTAGCCACTTGACCACCACGGCGGTTGATATTTCAAACATTACGAGTTATAATAATAATATAGTTGAGGTTTAACATACCCAAAACACGATATGAATAAGAAAACTTTCCTAGCGGAGGGCTCCGGAAATTTTGACCACCTGGTGTTCTTCAACGCACACTAAACTGCAAGCACACGGGCCTCAAGTGTTTTCGCCTTGAATCTGAAATGCGCTAAACGTGGTCGGTATTCGATCATGTAACCTTCGGGTCAGCAGTCAAGCAATCAAGCATTGGGCCACCGTGTGGGTAAATATTTTCTTAGATTTGGTTTTATCATATAGGAACACACTTCAAGTCGTGAGGAAGCGCTATATTCTGGATAATTGGAATAAGTGGAAGGTTATTCTGGATATTTGGAAAACCGGAAGGTTATTTCGGATAATTGGAATACTTCTTCTCCGACTACGACACCAAACCAATAAACGTCAAGGATACGTGAGACATGTTGTCTCAGACACAGCTAATTTTCACTTAGTTTTAAATTTCGACCAACTTTATCACGAAGACCAAAACTGCCTAAATAGAAGCATGGGGGCTTTAACGTACACTATTCAAAAACGACTTTTGAGTTAAAAGAAGGAACAAGAAAGCAAAATTGCCAGACACGTTTCCGTCTTCTTTGTTCTCCTTGCACACGTAGTACGGCGGTATACTTCATTACCTGCTGCAATAGTCTTTCCTCACGTTTCACTTGCTCTCTTAGTTAAACAAGAATAAAGGCGTACAAATGTCTTTACCTCCGCACAAGGTTTTTATAAACTTTGATGAATAAGTATTTTTGTGTGCTTGTGTGTAATGAGACCTCAAGCTTCAAGTATTCGTGCACTAAAAACATGGATTAATATAAAATCATTATAATAAGAAGAAAGAACTGGCCACTCGTAACTGAAGAATCGTATATCTGAGAGAAGAAAAAATGCGCGTATACTAATAAGTTAAAGTAGCAAAGCGTACTGTTAGGTTTCACGTTGCATTGATCGGCTTTGTGTAGTGCGGTATGTACACCTTGTCGTGTAGAGTGTGCCAATCGCCATGGTAATCTAGTGATTATGGTGATCCACTGCTGACTCGAAGGTCACGGGATCGAATTCCGGACGCAGGGGACGCATTCTGAACAGAGGCTAAAATGCTTGATGCCAGTGTGCTCAGATTTAGGTGCACGGTAAAGATTTCCAGGAGGCCTCAATTTGCGCATCCCTTCTCTACGTTGACCCTCATAATCATATTGTGGTTTTCAGATGTTGAACCACAAAATTTTGCAATGAAGAAAGAATGTACAGGGTGTTTCAAGAAATATGTTTGTAGTTTCGTAATGAAGAGGAAGATGCAGTAATTACGTTATCTCTCGAGCACACGCAGTGGAGAAGAACCACATAGGTGTATACCTATTAGGAAGTTACGTTTTCAACAAGATTTTCAACAAGTTACGTTTTCAACAACTAAGTTTTTGGATGGGGTAAGCGGAAATATTGACTTCTGTACTTACCTTCGAGGACGTCCTATGGGAAATTAATATACAGTCTTCCAAGAAACAGACCAGCTCAATTTCTTCAGCGTCAGTTCTGGCCAATGCAAGCGCAATCACTGGAACTGGCGAGACTATAGTCCATATTTAGCAGACTTTTTGATTTTGATGCGTCACGTCCGTCAATCCCTTTTCCGTGCTTCATCTATGGGTCAAAGCGAGAACAGTGACATGACTGCTACTTATGGCATTTAGGAGGAAATCTTCTCATCTTAAGGCA